AAAAAAAAAAAAAAAAAAAAAAAAAAAAAAAAAAAAAAAAAAAAAGCACAAAAAACACAAACCCAATACAAGAAGGAACGCAGAATAAAAGAAACAGCACCACCAAAGAAGTAACAAATTGACAGCAATTAATACCGATCAATAATTACATTGAATGTCAATGGATTGATTGCACCAATGAAGAGAGAGAGAGAGTGGCAGAATGAATAAGAAAAGCAAGACCCTTTAATATGCTACCTGCAAGAGAGACACCTTACACACAAAGACAAAAGCAAACTAAAAGTTAAAGGATGGGAAAAAATTTACCAAGCTAACTGCAACAATAAACATGCAGGACTGGCAACACTAGTCTCCAACAAAGTAAACTTTAAGATAAAAACCAGCATAAGAGACAAAGAATGACACTGTCTCATGATCAAAGGGACAACTGAGCAAGACGACATAACCATAATAAATATATACGTTCCCAATGAAAGAGCACCAAAGTACATGAAGCAAACCTTCCTGGAATTGGAGAAAGAAACAGATAAATCTACTATTATAGTGGGAGATTTTAACTCACCACTCTCAAAAAGGGAAAGAACAACCAGAAAGAAACTCAACAAAGTTACAGAGGAACTGAACAACGCCATCAACCAACTTGACCTCACAGATGTATACAAAGATTTCAATCCAACAACAGCACAATATACATTCTTCTCCAGTGTGCATGGAACATTTTCCAGAATTGACCATGTGCTAGGTCACAAAGCAAGCCTCCCTAAATTTACAAACATCAAAATTCTACAGAGCATCTTCTCAAGATCACAATTCTGTAACACTAGAAATCAACAATAAAAAGACCAAGGCAATAAAGTCGAATACATGGAAACTGAACAACACCCTGCTAAAAAGTGACTGCGTAAAAGAAGAATTAAACATGAATTCACAAAGGTCCTAGAAACAAACAAGAATGAAAACACAACATATCAAAATCTTTGGGACACGTTGAAAGCAATGCTAAGAGGACAATTTATTGCAATAAATGTGCACATCCAAAAAGAGGAAAGAACTA